GCGGGACTCGATCCCGGGACTCCAGGATCATGACCTGAGCCGAAGGCAGTCGCTTAACCAACTGAGCCACCCAGGCGCCCTGTAACAAATTTTTTTAAAACTTCTATGGGTCTTAGAAATTTACAAATGTTGTAAGTCAAAATGAGAAGAAAAAAAACTAAGAAAAAATGGGAAAAGAAGACAGATAAGAAATAAAGGAAATATAACTTAAAAAAGAACATAAATTTTAAAGCAGGAAAATTTTGGGAACAAGTCTATGAAGCATGTTGCTGCTTTTTCTTCCTCAAAATTAACTTATGACTCAGTAATTTTAGTGATTATAGGAACTCACAGGGATATTTCTTATTCATCTGGTAAATTTGTAGATCCATAGAGTGTAAACAAATTTAAAATAAGTCTTTAAATTCTGATCCTTTATTTTGCTGGGAAAAAAATTTTACCTTAATTCATTCTATTCTTCTATTCCTATCATAAATTGTTTTAGTTCTGAAGCATTAGATATGAAACTGGATCAGTTCCTCAGAAAGTTTCAAAATTATGAAACTTTGAAGGAAATAGTAGAAATATGGGCAAGAAGGGAAAAAGCCCACAAGCCTATGTATCAACTTAGCAGCCTAATCTCATAGTCTAAATTAATTTTTCTATATATTTCTCAAAAGTTCTTTTTTTTAAGAATATTGTTTTCATTTATTTAAAGACTCATAACCTTAAGGAGAGAAGGAAACTCTAAAGAGTGTAACTTTCTGTTTCCAAGGTAAATCTAAATTAACTGTGGCCCAAGACATCTAGAGATTTTTCTCAAAAAACAGAAAGGGAAAAATGTAATGACTTCCCTCAGGAACTCATTTTAATGCTTAGAAGCATATTGGTCAGGAATATTCTTTAATTTATAGTTTCACCCTTATACATATATGTTTAGTAAGCTTTTAAATGATTTTTGGAGTTATTGAGGATGTTGATCCCATGTCCTTAAACTTGACCTTTCAAAGGACAAATCTAGATAACCTTGTTATAGCAGAAGGTCACAAGGACTTCTGTTTCTCTTGATTTCTAGATAAGTGACTTCCCATGAAATTATGAAATCTAGAAAAGTTTCTTACTGTTCTCCCCCTTTATCTGATATTTGTCAAGGTGGGAGTTGAATGGATATCTTATCTGGTTAGTCAATAGAGTTTGTGTCTTTGGGGCTGATTCATTGCCAGGGTTAATTTACCTAAGGTTAAGTGAAATGAAAAGAACTAGAGGGCTGAATCCAATCCAAAGCCTACAGAAGATCATGCTTCAAACTGATGAAACTAAATAAGCTGGTGAAGCTCAGAAACCATTAGGCCCATGGTGCCCAGATGGGCCAAGTAGACCTTTTGTATTGGAAAATAATGCAGTATTGTAACTCCAGGTAGACTGAACATCACTAGTCTTTCTAAAGGCATCATTTAGAGGTGGTAGGGATTAAATAAGGACCGGAGTGAATGCTCTGACATTTTATAGTCCTTTTATTTGGGCGCATTAAGGCATGGTTTTAATCAAGTAATGAAATAACCCCTCCTACCTCTCTATGCCCATTTTTACTCCCAGTATAAAGGAATTTTGAATACTGTAGTTTGTGGCTAACGGCACAAGAGGCAATTCCATAGGTCAGTTATCTTTTGCTTACAGTGGCTTCCTCCGAGAACAAAGAGCAACAAATCAAAGCAGCTAACTGCTGTTACACTCAAGAAGATTTCGTTATAAAAGGCAACAGTGTCATTACAGTCATGTGAGTGTGCCACCGTGTACAAGTAATAGATCCTAAAGAAATGGTACGGAAGGAAGCAAATCAGGATGACTCCGATAAAAAATAGGTTTTTCAGCTGGGCCCAGAACTCCTGGTGGGATAGTAAGGAGTGGCGTAGCTTCCGCACCATTGACATAATGATGAAGATCTGGAAGACCAAGAGAACCATCGCTGTGGCTATGACAATGGTAACTATCATATAGTTGACAGCTCGCACGTATACACGATCAAGCTCCTTGTGGAATTTAAAACAGTGCTGCTCGTCATACGCCTGGTGCGTTCCATACTGAGCAGCAACCACGGGTACCACAATGACAATCACCAGCAGCCACATGCCAGCACTGGCAGCCACAGCATGCAGCTTTCTGTAAAACTCCACTTTGTCCTTGCGCTTGAAGAAGATGAGGTACCGAATGACCAGGATCACCACGTAGAACAGGAATGTGAGGTACATGTGGATGTGTAGCATGGCACTCACAAATTTGCAGAAGCGCAACCCAAACATCCAGGTGTGCTTGATGAGATATGTCAAGCGAAAAGGCACTGTCAGCAGAAAAACACTGTGGACCACCACCAGGTTAACAACCGCTGTGGTAGTTACAGATCGGGTGTTCATGTTCACCAGCAGGAACAGAATGGAGATGATGCCTGCCAGCCCTCCAATGAGCACTAGGAAGTAGAGCCTGGTTAAATGGGGTGTCAGTATAGGGCTGCAGGAAGAAATGTTGTGAGTCATACTTCAGAAGTCACCTGGAAGAGAGGAAACACCAATGTAACTGACAAACTTCCAGAGCTTTGTTCTTCTCTCCTTAGCACTAGCAATGTGATTTTGTCATTTATCTGTTTATATGATGTCAACTTTATGTACCCTAAGAATAAAGACTATGTCATATGCATATCTATATACCCAAGACTGAAAACATAGTAAGTCATTGATTCCGAAGCATTAATAGGTTAAAGACCTCATCGAGAGGCCCCCAAAGACGTCTGTGTGTGCATGTGTGTACATAGTCAAAACAGGGACGCCTGGGTGGCTGAGTGGGACTGCCTTCGGCTCAGGTCATGGTCCCAGGGTGCTCTCTCTCTCAAATAAATAAATAAAATCTTAAAAAAAAAAAGTTTGCATAGAACTAGATTGCAGACCATCTGAAGCTGATTCATGGATACTAGTATTGCAGCTGCCAGTGGGGGGAAAATTACAACATGGAAGGAAAGTTGAGTGCGTGTGTTAAGTACACAAAATGTTTTCTTTAAGTATGATTCTAATTCTCTAATTCCTTTCAACTCATCAGCAAAAGATTTAAGAATATACATAATTCATTTAGGATACTGATTAGTTTGGCCAAAGAAAATTAGCTAAGTCAAAGCAACAACAATCAATAGGAGTGTATATGTGAATTTCTTGTCATATGTTATCATCTAGCAGTGAGACCTTGGCTAAGTTTTCATGGGCCCCACTGAAAATGCAGCATATCACCCAATTCTCCCATTCCCACACCCTCAAATGCGTAAAAGAACCACTATCATTTTTCCTCTGGAAAGATCCTTTCCCTAAATAGTCTTGGTCCCTTCTAACTCATTATCCATGTTCTAGTTTATTATTTATTAAGTGAAAGATTTAGTAATCTTTTAATTACACTGATCAAGTCCTTTCATTTTCTTATTTAAATCTCTTCAGTGGCTTCCCATTTCTTTTAAGATTAAAAAATCCTTCCATGTCCAGAATGTTCTGGGTCATAGCAAAATCTGATCCCTTGAGACCAGATTCAGGAAATAATCTAGAGGGGGGGCACCTGGGCCGCTCATTCGGCTGAGCATCTCATTTCATTCAGCTGGGGTCATGATCTCAGCGCCTTGGGATCGAGCCCCGAATGGGGCTCCGTGCTCAGTGTGGGGAGTCTGCTTATTCCTCTGCCCCCCCAACCCCCCCATGCTCCCTCTCTAATAAATAAAATCTTTAAAAAAAAAGAATCTAGAGGTGAAATTGATAGAATTTAATGGATTGTATATGGGGAAATGAAGGGAAAGAAGGTATCTCAATCACTCCTAGATTTCTAACTTGAACAATTGTGTGATTAGAGATCTGTTTACTGACAACAGGGAGACTGAGGATCAAATTTGTGGAAGAACAGTAGTTGAATTATACTTAGTGCCTTTGTAACACATTTGCAATTAGTTTTACTCACTTCATGAGTGTCTCTTCATATAATTAAAATTACCCAGCAACAAAAATGAATTACTGATGAATCACAAAAGCATTATACTTGCATACATGTAAATCATATTCTCAAAAGTGTATTCCTGAGGTGTGAAAAAGACCTTACTTTCTATGTATAAAGCATAAACATACATAAGTACATAAACAGACATAGAGTTTATCTATGGTATTAAAATTTCATAAGGAGGGGAGAAACAAGGAACAAATGGCTAAAAAGGCTCTTTATAAGGGCGATAATTTTAAAAGTTAAGAAACATTGTACTAAATAAAAGATGCCAGCCACAAACGACTACATATTGTATCATTTCTTTTTCTAGAAAATCAAAATTAATGAGACAGAAGATCAGTATAGCCCAGGGCCTATGTTGCAGGGGAAGGGATTGACTTCAAAGGGGTATGGGAGAATTTATGGAGGGATGGACTGTTTTATATTATGTCGGTTACAATTCTAGTGATTTGTCAAAGCTTATCAAATTGCACACTTCTTGCATATAACTTATTTCTCAATAAAACTAACTTAAAAAAATAATAAAAATAACCTGAGCCCAGGGAAGCTCTGCTTTTGTGGGCATGGAATAGGATTTCCATGTACCCACTTAAAAGATTGCTTCATGTTATATCTGTTCTATGTGATGTGTAATCTCTGTATTTGTCTTTTATTTTTCCCTTTGAAAAGTAGTTCCTTCAAGTAAACACATAGTTATATTGTGTTTGTATCTGAATCGGGGTGAATGTGCCATTTTAAGTTCTGTCCATTATTTTCTCCAGCTATTGAACTAGAATCTGGACTGGCTTCTGAAAGAAGAAAGTATCATCAGTCGCATATCATCTGTCTCAAATCTTTTTTCTTTCTTATAAACTGCCATGGTCTCTCTATAACAACCAAGCCTGGTTCCAGACATTCCAAGATACTTTGTAAGGTATTACAGACTATAGACGCCTCTGCTTAAACCAGCTAAAGCAGACAACCTGCAATTAACAACCCTGTTCAGAAGTAACATGGGATTTTTTTGTTTTTTGTTTTGTTTTTTGAGAGAGAAGAGGGCATGCGCACACGCGTACATGTGTGGGGGGGAGGGGAGCTGCAGAAGGAGAGGGGGAGAGAAAGAGAATCTTAAACAGGTTCCACGCTCAGCATGAAGCCAATGAGGGGCTCAATATCATGACCCTGAGATCATGACCTAAGCTGAAATCAACAGTCAGACACTTAACCAACTGAGTGTCCCAGGCACCCCAATTTTTTTTTTAAAGAGAGAGAATCAGGGATGAGCCTAACGTTTTTTTGTTTTTATTTTTAAAGATTTTATTTATTTATTTGACAGAGAGAGACACAGCAGGAGAGGGAACACAAACAGGGGGAGTGGGAGAGGGAGAAGCAGGCTTCCCGCAGAGCAGGGAGCCCAATGTGGGGCTCGATCCCAGGACCCTGGGATCATGACCTGAGCTGAAGGTAGATGCTTAACAACTGAGCCACCCAGGCACCCCACCCCAATTATTTTTTAATAAATGAATGGGTGAAATAATGGTGAAAAACCATCTTGACTTTATTAAACATATTCTTGATAGAGCCCCATTTGGATCTAATCCAGTAACTGATGTCAAGATCCCAGAAATAAACTATAGACCCAAAGCAAACTCTCTTAAGGGAGCGGGACTGTCTCCCTGTTTGTCCATGAACCACCTTGCCTTGGCAGGGATCTCTTCTTATCTGTGATTGACCCCTGAAGCTCAGCAAGAAGCCTGGCCACACATTCAGTTTCCCTCTGCCCTCTTTCATTCCCCTGCTTAAAATCCTTCTTTGGTTCCTTTGGCACCTACCATGCCTTACAAGCCCTTTGCAATCTGACCCCAACTTATGTTTCAAGGCATACATCCTGTTATGCCCACCCCCACCTCTATTTCCTCACCCTCATCCTATGCCCTGGACTTGTAGACTTTCATGCCTTTCCTACAATGCTATCTTTCAAACCTCCAGGTTTCTTCTCTCTGTAGACCCTAAATGTACAGCTAGACACTGAGTCTGAAGTCCAATTCTATGATAAATTATTTTATGTCTCTTCTTAAAAAACTTCCCCTGGCCTCCCATTGTCTCTTGGAGATGTGTAAACGTCTTAGCATGCCACGCTAGATCCTTCCCACTGGCTTTTGTAGTTCCATATCTAGCCTCTATGCCACTAGAGCACCAGGATTCTCCTGTTCTGCTTGAATGATTTCTTCATTATTCTTTTCTGACCTCAGCCTACGTACTGCAGAGCTCCTCAGCTTAGCCTGTGGTTTGGCTGGGGGCTATTTCCCTGTGTCTTGGAAGTTCCCTTCCCAATGCTTTGCCCACAAACTTGCTTGGGCCTTGGTGGTCATTGCCCATGGCCCGAGGACTACCTTAATATCAGAAGTGAGACATGGAAGTGGCTTCTGTAGTTGTTTTATAAGGAATCCATGATAGAGCCAACATCAGATACCAGTCTACAAAGTGAGAGTCCTAAGAAATTTATAGAGTCCTACAAAATGGCAGTAAGCAGTCCATGTCCTCATGAGTGCATAAGACCGTAGGTCCCAGACCCCCTTATTTCTAAACAGAAAAGCGGCTACAATCAACTTGGGATTTTTCATTTCATTTAATAAACAAGTCATGTCATTGTGTCTTTTGTATAGCGCATAGTGAAGATTCTGAGATGAACAAAACACATCCCTGCGTTTAAATCTCTGTCTGATAGGGGAGGAAGAGGTACATAAATTATTTACAACACCTATAGGTACATAAAAAAATGCCACAGGAATTCAGAAAGGGGAGTAGTTAATTTAACAGACAGTGGAGAGTGAAAGCATCAGAATGTAGTGGCAATAGAGTAATTCTTGGGCACAGATGTATAACAGGTGCTGGATCTTAAGGAAAGCTTTGAAGTTCCAGATGCAGAGAGGAAGAAATAGAGTACTCCAGGTATAGACAAGAGTCTGAGAAAAAGCATGGATGCATGTTCAGAGAATTACCTATAGTTTGATGTACCTGGAACATAAGGTAAATGAGTAGAACACAGGCGAATGTAGATGTGGATGAAGCTTGCCAAATACATAGCATGTTGCCACTCTAAGGATTTTTTATTTTATCCTGAAAATTATGAGAGATGCAAATTTTAAAATATAAAATGCCATTTAGTATTTCAATTCCAAAACCTGTTTTTTGGTTTTATTGGAGAAAAGATTAGAGGAGGGCAAGATAAAAAGAGTGATACCATTAGCAGGCTATTGTACTGATCAAGTTTAAATATCATAAGGATTGGTGCAAGGTGATACCACTTAGGGGAATTTGCCCCCAAAGTAAACAAAATTGAAGACTCTGGGGTTGGAGAAACCAAAAAATGTGAATTTAAACTCTTGATGAAAATTAAAGAATTAAAATTCTTGGTAAATAGAAGTTGGTATGGCTTACAAAAGAGAAACTATCTGAACTGAGCCTCTGGTAGTGAGGGGGAGAGAGAGAATCATTATTGACAAGGCAAAGAATAAGATAGAATCAATGGTGCTAAGCAATGGA